TCGTCTATATGAATTATAAATCTGCAGACTGCCCTTGGCTGACTCGGAACATTGCAGGTTCATATTCAAAGCTCACTTAATCTTATTGTTGACCCTTTAGCAACCTAACAACACCAAATGGAAACAACTGGTGTTTATGTGTCATAGTCAAAATTTCCACCCTCTGTCTCCATTCTTCCTGTTAACTTGCCAGAGAATAACTGTGGTGCTTATGGCCAGAAGGAAGTGATAGAAGGGAGTGGCCCTCCTTCCTAGCTGTGTGGCCTTGGACAGATCACTTAACCTTTCTGAACTTTAGTATCTCCAATTATAAATAATGCCAGCATTACCTACCAGAGTGACTATGTGGGAGAGGGGGGACGGGACAACAAAAACAACCATATGTAAAATGTTTTATAAATTACAAGGTAACAGGAAAATTTAAGAGAATGCCCTTCCTAATTTATTTAAACAGGAGCTAACATTTGCTGAGAGCATCAGAAGAAATAAAGGCCAGTAGTAAGCCATGAGTTTCCACAGCAACACTTTAGGAATCTGCTGGTGGTGGCTCAGATCCCCAACACACATGCCACTCCCACCCAAGCTGTGTACATATGTGTAGAAGATGCTCTGAGAACTGCATGTTTTACAGCACTGTGGAAGTGCAAACAACCCATGATGCAAGTCATTTGCCGTGTTCCCACCTTGATGTTGCCAAGATAAATTCTCCCGAAAAGATTACCTAAGTGCTGAGACATCTGTGGTTAATGGGGAGTGTGTGTTCTTTGCAGTCCCTGGCATGAAGTTAAGTAGAAGTTGGATTTTTATTTTTCATGAAATGAGACTAGTGGCTTGATTTTATTTTGGCTCGCATTATTGCTGCCCTGTCTCCTCAGAGATGTGTCCCCAGTAGGTATAAACCTATTCAAAGGGATAAACATGATCTTGCGGCAGGTCAGTCAGCATTTTCTATGACTCAGAGTCCATAGGGGGTAAGAGGGATGGGGTTATTAAGAAAACTGTCCTTAGGTTGGCAAGATGGCCCAGAGGTTAAGGACCCTTTTCACCAAGTCTGTTGACCTGAGTTTAACCCCTGGGACCTGCATGGTAAAAAGGGAGAATTGATTCCTGCAAGTTGTCTTCTGATATAAGTGAGCTACCTCCCAACACAATAAATAAATAAAATTTAAAAGAAGCTTGCCTTGAAATTAAACCTTTTATTAAACTATTTTTTATTATTTTATAAGCTGTTTTGATTTGCTTCATTGCTGGAGATTGAACCCAGGGCCTCACACATACTAGGAAGTGCTCTTCCAAGAGCTACACTAGGCGTCTTGTGTTCTTATTGTGATGGAAATACCTGTATTAGTCAGAAGATAATTTGTGTAGCAGTAACAACAACAAATACCTTTCCAATCTGGTGGCTTAACTCAGAGGTCTAGCTCTCATTTACACATGAACAGGAAGCTCCGGTCCACGGGGGTTATTAAGAACCTCAGGATGGGAGGTGTCCCAGCTGCCACATCTGGGAAGAGAAGAACCTAAAAAACCTGTTCTGCTTTGCTTTGCCCAGAAATGACACTGTTGGTTCTCTCTCTGGCCCCTCGACTAGAAGTCTTATATATGTGCTGAGTCAAGCAGATGGGAAACATGATGAGCAGAGACACTCAGGAAGTATGTCTCTGCTACAATCCTCAGCCCCCAAAGGGCAAGAGGCAGCATTGACTCACACTGCTTCATCCTCATCCTTGCTCCATGGAGCAAGCTGCTCTGCTTTAGACTCCCAGCTCAGTCTCATGCCACTTGTGAGACTGAGCAAGTCATTCTGTCCTCCATTTCGACACCTGTCAAGTGGAGATGCCAATGTCCACCCCTGCACAGGTTCCAGAGACACTTAATGATTGCCACCAGGAGGACACACAAATATCTAAGGCAGCAATTCTCCCCCCAACTGTTCTGATATGGCAGACTATCTCAGAGACTATGGTGACACTTTCTAAAGGCATCATGACCAAGATTATTGTAAATTACCTTTGCTTATGAATTCTCCATAAGTCATCCAAAATAGGATAAATACAGACACCGTTTTTGGTATAATGGTGTGGTGTCCATTTATTGTGTAACTTTTTTTTTCCTCCCATGACACTGTCCCCCACTCCAGCACCCAAGTTTTAGATCAGCCTGGGTGTGAATCCCAGTTTAGTCAATCTGTTTAGTTAGCAAGCACTCTGAGCCCAAGGTCCCTCCCTCTCTCTCTCTCTCTCTCTCTCTCTCTCTCTCTCTCTCTCTCACTGTTTGTCTGGGATTGATTCAGGGCTTCTTAACACCAGGACAGTCATGACTCTCACAGGGTTGTCTAGAAGATTAAAAAAATATTCAGATCAAGTCCCCAGCACAGTATAATGTAACCATCTATCCTCTAATACATTCTAACAAGCATTCCTGCATTTGGTTTGAGAGCTTTGCCACAGGAACCTCACTGAGTTGGTGAAAATGCAAGTCAACACCAGGTTAGGACCGATCTGTCAGGAAAAGGTTTTTGTTAGCACTAGAGGACTCATCTACTCCTAGACATTAAGGATCAAAGTAAAGAAACAACAACAAAAAATCAGGAGACTTAGATATAAAAATACACATTTCTGGCTTCTTCTGAAGAATCAGTTGTCTAGCTTCTACCGGTGAATGAGCTCTCTGAGGGTGAAACAATCCTTCTCATTCCATAATCGGAGTGAGTGAAGGGTAAAGCTGGCAGGGGAAGCTATTTTCAACTATTCAGCCAAACGCTAATGATAATATTGGGTATTTTTGCTGCTCCTTTTATTTTTTATTTTTTTATTCCTTGAGAATTTCATACAGTATATTTTTGTCATATTGTTTCCATCCTTGTCCCCCAACACTATTCCTTTTGGGTCTTGGTAGTAGTTATTTGACACAGAGTTGCATCTCAAACTTACTATGTAGCTGAAGTTGACCTTGAACTCTTAATATGCCTGCCTTCACCTCTCTGGGGATAGAACATAGGCATTTGCTACGATCCCAAGCTTATCTTGTTAACCTCTAAAAGACTTCAGGGTTTATGTAAAGTACCATTTTCTTTGGTTTTAGGTGGAACTGTATTGATTGATAAACTGGATTATCCTAATGCAAATTTAGACTAACAAGTAAATACTATTGATAAACGTTTCTAAAATTAGGAGAATAGATTACTATAATAAGTAGTATTTGCTTGATAGATTAATTCTGGCAAAGACATGGTGGTGGTAAAGGATATAGGTTAGTAAATGTAGGTTAGTGGCTTGGGTTTGATCTCAGCACTGGGGAGGAAGAAGAGAGAGAGTGAAAAAAAAGAGGGTTTGGAGAGATGGCTCATCAGTTCAGGACACAAAACTGCTCTTGTAGAGGACCTAAGTTCAGTTCCCAAGACACATGTCAGGTGGCTCACACCATCTGTGACACCAGCTCCAGGGGATCTGATGTCCTCTTCTGGCCTCTGTGGGCTTTGCACTCACATGTACACACACACACACACACACACACACACACACACGTAATTAAAAATAAGAATAAAATCCTTAAAAAAAGAATGAAGCTCAAAAAGAAGAAAAATGACAATAAAAGGCGTCCTCATTAATGGACAGACTGAGAAAGGAGCAACTCTCTCTGTCCTTTCCGCTGGAACTTGATCTCAAGTCAAAACTAGGAGTCCAAGTGTCAAGATTTCAGTTATCTCAGAGTAGGTAGAGAAAACCCTGGGGAAGCGGCAACAAATGGGGTCTGCTTCTGAGGCTTGTACTCTCACATCCTAAGCAGGCTCACTTTGATTGTAACAGAAGGCCTAGTATTAATACTGCCTCTGTCCTCTCTGAACCCAAAGGCAAAAAGAAACACAATGTCTGCTTGCAATATTGCTGTGCATGTGTAGCTCATGGTCTTTGTGCCAATGTACAAGGCCACTGTACATTGTATATAGGTGAAGAAACTCTCCTGGTGACCTGCAATTCTCAAGGATTGTTATGTGTTCTAGAACATATTGTGATTCATAAGTTTGCTAGGTGGGGCAAACTTTTTAGTCCTTGTCAGCTCTTTCCCACGTTTACCTAAAGCATGTGGGAATCAAAACTTCCAAGCTAATGTAAATGCAGTCAAGCTCTCCTAATCCAGCCTCCTCATTTTCCAAACGCCCAGGGAAGGGAAAAGGACTGCCCAAGACAGCACAGCCAGGACCAGAGCCAGGTTTCCTGCCTCTAGCTCCATTTCTATATGTGCATTTTTACTTCCTTTTCCTAAAAAAACAAAAACAACAACAACAAACTTCCTTAACCTGTCATTGCCTGAGATCTGTTTTGTCTTTATAGATTCCAGGCTTCTACCTAATCATCCAAGCCTTCCAATTTATCCTCCTACTTTATCTTTAGCATATTACCAGGGCTCCCAGATTCTACTTAGAGAAATCCTGCAGGAAGCCAGATCATCTTTGCACCCACCTGGTCCCTGTCTCCCCCTCCCCTTTGAAGCATATTTATTACACTAAACACATTCTGAGGAGGGGAGAGGCTCAGTCTCTTGTCTAGGATGTAAAGAGCACAGGATTTAAGTCCGAGTACTTAAAAACACGAAGAAACAAAACAGAAAAGAAATTTCTTTCAAGTTAGAAGTGGATTGCCTAAAAACACGAAAGTTGGTTCTGGCCAGTGCTGCCTCTTGCTCAGCTCACTCCAGTTGTATGGGGCAGGGACATAGATTCTTATGAGGGAAAAAATCAGGAAGGAGAAAAATGGAAGTGGGGGAGTCAATGAGCGATAAGTGAGCTGCAATTTAAAGCCAGTATATACGGTGTGAGTATAGGCTGAGTCATAAAGAATACAGAAAAAGCTATGCGAATGACTACGGGAAAAGAGGCAAAGGATACTTGTCAGAGGCACCATCCAGCCATCCTGCCCTTTGCACACTCCATGCCACACATCAGGTTTATGACAGTGTCAGCCAAGCTGAGATAAGAAAAACAAGGACATATGCTAAAATTTCGTGACACTAAATTTATTCCATTTGAAGGAATGTCTTACATGCTGAGATTAGAGCCTTCCTTCTTTAGTCTTCAGACATTAATGAAATGACATTGAAAACAGGAGATAATTTACATCTGCATGTGCTCCCTGGCCACTTAGCAATGCCCTCATTCTGAGGTGTTCTCTACTTTGATTTTCATTTTCTTTTCTTCTCTCTCTCTCTCTCTCTCTCTCTCTCTCTCTCTCTCTCTCTGTCTCTGTCTCTGTCTCTCTCTCTCTCTTGCTACTACATTGATTTGGAAAACCCCAATATAACGAGAGCTGATTAGCAGTCCGTAAGGTTAAGATATCTTTATTCAGATAAACACCAGCCAAATGCAAGCCAGAGCGTGCCAGGGACAGCAAGGCATGGTTATGGTGTCTCCCTACACCCCAATGTCAGTTAGTCTTCTATTTAGAAAAATGTAAGTCAGATAGTAAGTGGTTACCAATCTATTAGGAATAAATCACAATTAATTAACATATACTTCAAGGAGAGGGCATAACAATTTTTTCATTCCAAACTCTCATTCATAAAATAGTTCCATAAGTAGATCAAATTAGTCATAACAACTACTGCTTAGTAATTAATTAAATACTTCTTCATAACCTCTGACCATTTGACCAGAGTGAATTTAAAAGTAGCAATAAATACAGATGGCGTTACAGAAATTGAAGTGGTCTTGATGCAAAACTCTTCGTGTGTTAGCTAGGTGACAGCTAAGCTTTCTCATCTGAAACGAATCAAGAAATTAATTTGAACAATGATTGTATCAATAAGAAAAACATTCAAAACAAAATCCATCCTCTCAGGCAGTATGGCTTTGTTTGTTCCCCATTGCCTACTTGTCATGTGTGAACAAAAGGAAAAGTCCACAGAGGATGAGGCCAAGTGCCCTGGCCTCGCTGTGTAAGGATAGTGCGGCAGTGGCTGCTACCAAGACAAGCTCCCTTGGTTGCTTGTGTGGCAATGCAGTTGTGCAAGCCTTTGCCAAACCTGTTTAGAGAGTAGGCAGAAAGCCCCAAGGTGTTCCTGCTCTAGGCAACCCTCCCAATGCTTCATCTAAAGTGGAGGTAGATTTCCCCTCACTGTCTGTTCTCCTTGGAACCCCTTCACTTTCCAGCACCTCCAATATCTGGAGAAGGATACCTGGAATGGGATAATGATGGGAGTCCCTGCCACCCTCCGCTTAGGCCCTCCTACCCCATCAGAGTACTTACAGAGCTGTTTCTGAATTCCGGTCACTCTCCTTCATGCAGAGCTAAAAGGCAAACACAAGTTCGTGAGTTTGCATCCTTTTCTAAGGTCAAGAGTGAATATTTTGATTGCATTAGCATGGCAATGGGTGCTGTGGAACTACAAGACAGCCATCTCTGTGTGGACACAGGGCTCTTTGACCACATGGATAGATTTTATTGAATGTTGAGAAGATACAGGTCTTAATCAGAACGTTTCTAAGATTCACAGTTAGGTCTTCATTTTATAGACATAGTAAAAAAAAGTCTCTCTCTCTGTGCGTGCATGCGTGTGTGGCTGTGTGTGTGTGTGTGTGTGTGTGTGTGTGTGTGTGTGTGTGTGTGTGTGTGTACATCAGGCTTGGCCACAAACACCCTTACCTGCTAAACCATCGTCTCTATCTAGTTTGTTCTTTTTTCTTCTTTTCCTTCCCTCCTTTTCCCTCTCCCCCATTCTCTCTCTCTCTTCCCCTCCCTCTTTCCCTCCCTCCCTCCCTTCCTTTCTTTCTTTGGAAAAAAATGTTTTGGACTGGAATAGTGGGTGGGGTGAACTTCTTCTTGGGAAACACTGTTGCCCTGAATCAGATCTAGTTACTGTTGCATGAGAATGACTTGTTGACTGATGAGTTCAGCCTAGGGCATTCTGTCTCTCTTTAGAGGTTTTCTGCCACATGTGTCCTCTTTGGCCCTGAGTGATCTGGCAGAGTCAAATGCATGCCATTAACCTAAGCATGCACACATTCTGAATTACAGTAAACAATGATGTAAACCATTGGACGACTCAAACTCCAGCCCACAGCGGTAGATCATGTGGCTGTATTCAAGAGCAGAGCAAGCAGATGTCTGTTCCTCCCTGTGTTTACTTATTGTACCAAGGGCACCATAGCAACAATAAAAAGGGAGGTTATTGATTGGGGTTTTTGTTTTTGAAACAAGCAGCCCTGGTTGGATTTATATTCAAGATCTTCCTGCTTCTATGTCTCCAGCAGTGGGAAGACAGGTGTGCACTGCCATACCTGGCAGGAGAAATTTAAAAGGAAGAAAAACTAACACCAAAGCCCCTGGCTGTGACACCATAGGTATTTCCACTCAGGCTTTGTCCATGTGCACGTCTCTTTAAAGCTACACATAGGATAGATGCTAGAGCCTTGTACATGCAAGACAGGGTCTACCACTGAGCCATAGCCCAACCCCTTAGATGACTTTCTACCCCAGTAACTTAGAATACTTAGATACCTTCATTATTCTTTTTCTCCTAGCAATCAATCCAAAAGCCAGTGTCAGGAAGACCACAACACAAGCAGCAATGATTGGCTCTATTGGTACAACCGGAGCTTTGTCTGTTGGGAAAGCAAACACAGGAAAGAGTAGCCAACTTCTAACTTATATTCTTGTAATATGGACCAGACATGGTCCCTTATATTTGCATACACAACTCTTTTAACTAAATCCTCCTAACGACCTCAAAAGATGAGGAATGGGGGGGTCTTTGATAGGCTGGGTTACTTATTCAAAATGACAAAATTAACAAATAGCAGAGGCAGATTTTGAACCCATTCATTTGTGAAAGGAGTTTCGGAAATATGAGCACCTCACCCCAAGTGACCGCTCAGTCCAGTTCATGCTTTTATTATTTTACTTTATTTATTTTTGCCACACAGAAAGCAGAAGCAAATTGAAGTCAATGCCTTCTCAAAAACATAAAGGGTTTTAGGAGGACTCACAGAAGGAGAAAGAGGGAAGGAAGATGGGAGAGCAAGAAGACAAAGGTGGAAAGGGCTCCCTAGACTAAGAAAGACAGGAGACATGGGTGGGTCCAAGGAACAGTGTGTACAGCGGTCCGTACTGTGTTAGTGCCCCAGGCAGACAAGACATGTAGAGAATGGCTGTAAGGAAGTAGAATTTCAGTCATCAGTCTTGGCCAAAATTTCCATAGTTCCCTAAATGACAAGGAAAGGACAGTGAAGGAGCTGCAGCAACCGTGACACCTTGGAAATGAAGCCCACTTGAACATAAAGTTTACTTATTTGTGTACACTTATTTATTTGTGTGTGGTGTTCAGAGGACAACTTGTGGGAGCTAGCTCTCTCCTTCTACCACGTGTGAACCAGGGATGGAACTCAGGTTGTCAGGCTTGGCAGTGAGTACCCACTGAGCTATCTTGCTGGCCCGACCAATTACCTTTCAAATATTTTCTTTCAATTACTTCTTTCAGCTCTTGTTCAGGATAATTGGAGGGGGGGTATAAATGGATTAAATATTCCTCTTTTTTTTTTTTTTGTGTGTGTGTGTGTGTGGTAATACTAGGGGTAGAACCCAGGGCCTAACACATACCAAGCAGAAATTCTACCACTGAGCTAAACCCCCAGCTCCAGAGAATCCTTCACTTCTGCCCTCTCTTAGCTCCTCTCTCTCACACCCCCCCAAATTATTCTAATAAAGATGTGGGTAGTGCCAACCCTCCATAGAGGTTGGCCTGATGAGCGTTCTAGAAAATCCTATATTAATTAACTCTGGGGAAAAAAAAAACTAACTCTGGGATATGCTGGGATCATTACCCGACTGGAGACCTCTACTTGCCACCAGGGAAGGCTATCAGAACATAGAGGAAGGGAAGATCTGATAACTAGGAGAAGAAATCAGAGTGCAGTCACAGATGGGAATAGCTTTTACCAACCTGAAAGTCTGAAGCCACATGTTAACAGAACAGCCTTCCTTCCCCAAACCGAGCTGAAACAAACCGACTGGCCTACTGGCTTACTCTGCATTCCAGGTTCCTGTTGGAAGTGCCTTTGACACGAGTAACCATGTAACCGCCTGCACTCCTCCCTTTGTCCTGCTTTGATGTTTCTCTCCCTCAGACCATTCTGGTAAAATAGTCTCTAACTTGTGGGCTAACTCATATGCTGGTGTAGAGTTTCATGGAATTCTCAGTGTCTCCCAGCCCTTTAGAAACTACCCCTGATGAGCAGTGCAGCAGGGAGCGCCTGTGGTAAATTTGGCATCAAACCCCACAGAGTACGAGCAGCAGACCATGCGTGCTGTAAAAGTCAAACTGACAGCCGGGGAAGTAACAAAGCAAAAAAAGAAATAAGAAAACAAGCTGGCTTGGCAGAACTCCATCCAAAACAAGTTTCTGCCCACCTAATAGGCAATTTGCTGATTGCCACACAAGCTGTGCAATTTTTTTTTTCAAACATGGTCATAGAGCAATTATGTTTTTTTCCTGACCCAGAGGGATACTATAATCACTCAGTCTCCAAGTGTAGTCTTATAGCTAATTAGGAGAATACCGAATGAGGTTCACCCCACCATGTTTTTGTAAAGGTTCTGGGTGAGGTTAAAAAAAAAAAAAAAAAAAAAAAAGCCACAGGCTTCAAGGTGGTGTCCTTTCCATTGCTTCGGTCCTGTGGACACAGGTTCTTTTGAAGGTTTTGCTGGGTTTTTTTGTTTTGTTTTTTCAATCAAGTAGCCCCAAGGCATACTGCCATTGCCCAGCAGGACAAATTACTGAAAAACCCAGGAACCCCAGTGATGGGGCAGTCAACTAACAGCCACTCCCCTCCCCACCAGCCACTGTGTTTGTATCCCAGTCTCCCTAGTGTGGGGAGAAAAGAAGCTATGCTCTTGTGACATCAGTCCACACAGGAGGAAAGAGGCGGCTTTGTTTCCCGGGAAAGGGCAAGAGCAGCAATGAGTAGGTACAGTGAGTGGGATTCTAGCAGGATGCAGCAGCCTCATCTTGTTTGCCTGCTTCCTGCATACCTGCCTGAGACCAAATGTGTACAAAGGAAGGGCATGTATTTGTGGCATCAGGGATTTTAATTGCCTCTTTGAGCAGGAAACCCAAGGGGTTGCACACCTACGGTGCACATACATACATTCAGGCAAACACTCATACACATAAACCAAAACCAAGATATCTTTAAAGAGGAAATGAAATCTAAGGAGAACTCGACAAACCTCACTGGTTCTCCATGATCAGAGGGCCATAGGCTTGAGTGACTGGAGCAGGCCCCCTGATTAACCATGTTTCCCCACTCCCTCTGCTGACCAGGCAACAGGATACAAATCAAGAATTGAAATGATTTCAGAGATTTTTTTTTTTTAAATCTACTCAACGGTTTTCTTTTATGTATTTCTGAAGTGTCTTCTGTTACAGGCTATAAACTCAAATGGCTAGTTCCTGTATACATCAATGCTGGAGGGAAGTTGAAGAAGTCTCTTCGGAAAAAAAAAAAAAAAAAAACAAAACAAAACAAAAAACCCACCAGAATTGGTTTCTACCTTTGTCCCAGATCTTTGCTGAAAAGTCAGTGGTCTATGTGAAGTGGGCATAAATATTTTTTTTTGAGATAAGGTCTCACTGTATAATAGTCCTGACTGTCTTGGAACTTGCTTTGTAGACCAGGTTGGCCCTGAATTCACAGAGATCCTAAAAGCGTGAGCCACCACACCAGGCTTAGAATGTCTTTTCTTTTTTAAAGCAAATACTTTATCCCTGAGCTATCTCAGCACTTTGCAGTGCTCAGGATCAAACTCAAGACCTCCTGCACACAAGGAAAGCACCATACCCACAGAGTTATAGCTCCAGCCTCTAGCTCTTTTTCCTTTTTTTTTATTCTGAGCATGGTATCACCAAATTACTGAGGCAGGACTTGAACTCACAATCTTCCTCCCTTAGCCTTCTGTATAGTTGAGATTATAGGCTTGTGGCACCAAACCTGACTCAGACTAGAATTCCTAGAGGAGTTCTCCTGGCTGGGGAGAATTTTCCAATGAAATTTTAGCTACAAAGCATAATGGTCACCACCTTTGATTGTCACTAATAATATTTATGAATTCTGACTTATGCATCATGCAGAGCAATTACTTAAGAAGAGTTACCTGTAATGACCAGATGGAAGTCCAGAGTCTCCGTTTTCAGAGATGAGCTAGCAATACAGGTGTAGGTCCCATTGTCAGATTTCTTGACTTTGGAGATTGACAACTGAAAAGACTCTGTTGTCTCTTGGATTTGGTGACGGTCTTTCTCTAATATCAGGGTACTGTTGTTCTTAAACCACCTCATTTGTGCTTGGGGGTTGGATTTCACGTTGCAATCCAATCTTACATCACTGTCTTCCTCTACGGTTTGGAAGTCATTTCCACTTAGAAGAGGAGGGACTGTAAGACTCAAGCATTCAAGATTAGTCAGAAACAAGCAGTAGTTAGTTCACTGTCAGCAACTCAAGAACTCTCTTCCATGTTTCTCAGAGTGTTTTTACCTCTTAGACAAAAATGTGTGGAGTAGCTATTGTGGATTAAGTACACAGCTAGTAACTGGGGACAGGAAAGCAAATGACAAACATTCAGTTCCTAACTTCATAGAACTTTAAGTTAAAAAAAATAGACCAAGAGGGGCTGGAGAGATGCTCAGCAGTTAAGAACACCGGCTGCTCTTCTAGAGC